GTTTTTTTTGTGTTGGGAAAAGAAAGATAGAAAACAATAAAAGAAAATAAAATAAAAGAAAAGAAGAGAAAATATAGTATAATAAAAATATATAGATATATTAAAATAAAAGAGTAGTGGGAAATAACGGGGAACCAGCACAGAGTTGTGATTTGATGATTAATTATTGTAATGTATATATATATATTAAAATAAAATAAAAGATGAGTTTAAAAAAAAAGGAGGGATGTGGGCGGTGGATTCTTTTCAAAAGAAGGAGTAAAATGAATATAAAAAAAAAGGAAAAGAAAGTGGAGTGGGATGGATTCTTTTCAAAAGAAGGATTAAAATAAATAAAAAAAAAGAAAGAAAGTGGAGTGTGTGTTGAGTGTCTCCATGTGATCTGTGTCTCCATGTGATCTGTGTGTTGAGTTTGAGAAAAAGACTATCCTCCCTCTAACCCGAGAGAGAGGAGAGAAATAGGTGTGGGAGCAGATTGAACAGCATAGCCGTGGGAGCACTTCGCACAAACCCACTGCTGAGTATTACTATGTTTCCCTTGAAAGGCTTCGTGATTCCGACGAGATCACCAACGGCGTGGCATGGGTCGTGGAGAAACGCAGCTGCGGCAGCGGTCGCGGGTGCGGCCGACGGGTAAACCGGCGGAGAGAACCGCTGGAAGGTCGGGTGGGAAAGGGAAGCCGAACACGTCCTCGGCTCGGGCGATTCCTTCAACGTATGGATCTGGCACGCAAGTATGCCTTTGGGAAGATGTTGGTGATCGGCGCAGAAGCCCCATGCAAGGTGAAGGGTCTGTGGCTTTTCCGTGGCCAGGAAATTCCAAGGTTGACTTAACGGATGAAGCCCAGAAAGAGAGGGAGAGAATTGTATGTGTCTATGTGTGCTGGTTTGTGCACTCAGCAGGTTGAAGAAAAGAAATTTCAAGGTATGTGTAGAAAATTTTAGCAGACTAGGTTGAGGTCCGGCGGACGGCTAAGGTGAGGTTGCCGCCCGCGGGTGAAGCGAAAATAATAGGTTCTAAACCTGCTCTGATACCATGTTAAAATTGAAATATTATTGATTGAAGTCTTGATTGATGATTGTATTACAAATCAGAGTGGCATTATATAGGAGAGGGTTTGGGTAGTAGGTGTAGTGTAGTGGAGGTGGTAGGTGAAGTGGGTGCTAGTGGAGATGGTAGGTGGAGGAGTAAATTGGTAAATTCTAACAAAGATAACATAATTTGAAGCAAGCCACATTTGATTATTCAACTAGTCAAAATCTAGATATTCTACAGTATTGAACAATGAAATTCTTTAATCATTTTGATATAATTTACGGGGAATCAATCAGTATTCAATAGCTTCTGCTTCGTGGCATATCAGTGTCCCCTAACAAGCTTGAAGACAAGAAAAGTCCGGACTTTTGCAAGATTGAACCCACAAACTCATCATAAATGGCTGGATTGGAGGGTATCCATCCACTTAATGGCACGCAATATTCTATCTCAATATATTGATGTGGAAAATATAAGTTCCTCAGTCCATGGAAATAGAATATATTGTGACAAAGTTGGGGTCATGTAGTAATAAAATTTGGAAGTGGGTGATTGATATACATATATATATATATATATATGGATGGTACTGTTTGTGTAAACTCAAATCTATGCCGTTCTTGTGGCGTCTTTATTTATTTGTAAGCTTTTGTCATCAAATTTGTTGGAGACAGTCAATTTCTGCGTAACATGCTATGATGATATTTTTATTTTTTATAAATAATATTTTGTTTATTATGTGGTGTGTAATCACAACATTAATAATAAATATGAGTAGTCAGATTTATAAACTAATACAATCATAAATAATGCTTGATATATAAATATGATAATTAGTGATTACGGTTGAGATGATAAATAATTTTTGATATATAAATATTGTTGATTATAATAATATTATTGAAAGTATTATTAATCTTTTTAGGCTTTGCCAACATGAAAATTCAATCCACCATCAAGTCATATCTTCCAGTGCTTTCCATGATGTCTTCTTTCCAAACAACATTTTGTTTATTTCAAGCCTGCATGCACTGCAAAAGGGCTACCCTTTCCTCTGTGTTGGTAGTTAAAATGTAGGCACACAAACATGATAGGCAATGGACTATCATATCACAAGAACATCACCAAAAGTTCCTGCAACTGCAAGAACCATCTTTAAAATGATGAAACCTATTCACATCTCTAACAACAAAATCTCTCTCCACAATCTCACTAATCAGCTTGAAAGCCTCATGACAGTTGCAACACATTCTCAAGTTCTTCATCACTCTAATAGTCACTCCTTTAGGCATACTCAACAACGCGAAACCGAGAGCCAATCTTTCACTATGGAGACCTACCATTTCCTCTTTGGTTTCTTCTTCCACATCGACAAACACCAGCCCGACACTCCCTCCCACATATCCTCTTTCCTTCATTCTCTTCTCCAATTCCCTCAACAAACTCACCACTTCGCCCCCTCTTGGACATGAAGACACGTCTCCAGAATAGAAAATGTAAGTATGGTCCTTGATTTCGACCCAACTACACCCCGGTTCTTTGGAAACTCCAACGCGCTTCATTTCAGAACGAATGCTATGAACATTATCCCACTTTCCAGCCAATGCATAAGTATTTGACATTGTCACATACGCTGCTGCAACTTGTTGGTTTGATTCGATAAGCCATTTACTAGCTTCAAAAGCAATGTCTACCCTCCCATGAAGCCTACTAGTTGAAAGAAGCGTTCCCCATAATACACCCCCTTCATCTGGCTTCACTTGAATAGATTTTGCTATCTTGTAAGCCTCGTCAAGCCTGCCAGCTCTGCCAAGCATGTCAACAACACAAGTATAGTGCTTTGTGTTGGGAACCACCGCGTGCTTGTGGTACATTGAGTGCAAGTATTCAAGGCCTTCATCAACAAGACCCGAATGGCTACAAGCGTGTAGGACTCCGATGAACGTGACGTCGTTTGGACTTACTCTTTTCTTGGTCATTTCTTGAAAGAGTTCAAGGGACAATTTTGCTAGACCATGTTTTGCGGCTCCCACGATCATTGAAGTATAAGGAATTACAGAGGGATTTTGAATTTTGTGGAAGACCTGGTTAGAATAATCAAGACATCCACATTTCGCATACATATCAACAAGTGCAGTCGAGACCACATCATTCGAATCATGCCCACCACGAATCACAACTCCGTGGGAGACTTTCCCGGTCACTAGCCTGCCTAGGCCTGCACAAGCATTAATCACACTGGCCAACATGAAATGATTAGGACGATCCAACATCGAACTGTTGAATTCTCTAAACAATTCGAGGGCGTCATGGCCTTGCGCATTTTGGGCATACGATGTAACCATTGAAGTCCAAGAAACAATATTTCTGTAACCCATCAAGTCAAATACCCGGCGAGCTTCATCGACATCATTCGATTTCCCATACATATCAATCAGTGAAGAGCACACCACAAGGTTGGATTGGAAACCAAAAATCTCAACCCAAGCATGGACTCGTTTGCCAGTTTCGAGGTCAGAAAGTATCGAACACGCATTAACAACCGTTGCAAATGTGAAAGCATTGGGCAAAACCAAACTCAACGCCATACTTCCAAATAGCAAAAGAGCTATTTTGGGTTGACCCATGCCAATATAACCGGCCATGAGTGAAGTCCACGAGACGACATTTGGTTCGGGCATTTCATCAAACAATTGGTGTGCTTCTTCAATTTTTCGAACCCTAATGTAGCCATTGATGAGGTGGTTAATAGTGAAGGTATCATTTAAAAATCCAAATTTCTGGACGTGGGTGTGTGTAGAAGTTAGAGAAACAGAATCTTTAGAATCTTGAAGCTGTTCAATGTGGGTTTTTGATTTTGTATGGAAGTGTGACAGTTTGTTTTGGCGGGAGAGAAGGGAGGAGGCAAGGGCAAACTGGACAATTCGGTTTAACCGCTTATTCATGGGTCTTGTCTGCCCAAAGGAGAGTAGAGAGTTGGGAAGTCTTGCTCATGTGGTGTTCGGACAAGTTGGTAAAAAATATATATATATATATATATTTTTTGTTGTGACTTTTTGACTTTTTGTGTTAAAAAAATTGATTTTTTTGGTGATTTTTTTGTGTAAAAAAACTAAAAAGTCAAAAAAAACTTTTTACCAAAGTTCTCAAAACACTCCAATGTACAACTAACAATTTGAATGTACAACTCATGGAAATAAGCTTGTGTTAATCAAATTAATTTTTAACTGTTAAAAAGAAAAAAATCAAATCAATTTTAAGAGAAATAGAAAAAAAAAATGTTAGGGATTGACTTTTGTAATAAAATAAATCATGAATTTTTAATTTTGCCAATTTAAATACTATTTTTTTTTTCATTCCAGACCATCTTTCTATTTTCATTAAGCAAACTAATAAAAAAATATTTTTAATCATTATACTCTACGAAAAAAATATCTTAGACATTTTATGTATACCTATATTTAGTTTAATGACTTTTACTAATTCTTTCAATCAGTTTTACTTAACAAAAATATGTGAATGATTTAGATTGAAAATAATAAAAAATTTGGATTTAAATTGATAAAATTAAAAATTAAAAATTTATTTTGTTATAAAGATCAAATTCTGTTTTTTGTGTGTGTGTGTGTGTGAGAGAGAGACGTATATCCTTTAATTTTTTTATGTATTTATAAGTTCTACCAATATGCCTTTTTTTAATAATTAAAAAAAAAAGTTTCACCAACAGTAATTTAGGAAAAATAATATATAAATTAGAATGTTTCAATATGATTTGAAGGAACTTGCGTTGCGTAGACTTTCCGAATTCTCTGTTTTAATTTCATTTTCTTCAATAATAATAACACCAATGTTACATTTCTTAATTTATCACCTTTAAATTACTCTTAATGATATGACATTAAAGTTAAACTTCACATAATGAAATATTTGATAAATCAAAATTTAATATTTATCAGACACATTATTAAAAGTGATTTTTAAGAGTAACAAATTAGATATTTCAAATATTTTTTTAATAATAATAATTAAAGGAACTAGCCTAAAAAGTGCATCTATCTAGTACCTAAAAAATATTGATACTAAATTGGAATAATTAGTTCAAAAAATGCCTAAAAAATAAAATATATAACCTAAATTTATTTGAATATAATTAAATTTATATAGTATATTTAAAATTCTGATCACTTATCGAACTATTTTTTTAAACTCTTTTTCCATACCTAATTTGATATGGATATTTTGTGCATGTTGTATGGAGGTTAAAGAGGGGGTCCCCTCTAAATGTCCGAGAGAGAGGGGGAGAGAGAGAGAGGGGGATCGAGAAAAAAGGGTGGGTCACCGGCGTCTATGGAAATGGCCTTTTTCAATGAATTTTGTTAAGAGAGTTGTCCTCAATCAATGTATGCTTTTTTTTCAAGGACTATTGGACCCCTCCCTCCACCACCCTTTCCCCACAAATTGTATGTGTTCACTTCTCTAGTTGTGACCTGACATTTATGTTGATTCTCCCACTTATCTACTGGCTATTTGCTGACATTGACCACTGATGTCAAGGGAAACATAATTCAACTATAAAAGGTGAGACTCAACACTAAATACATATGTACTTCACAGTTTTCTAACCTTACTTTTAAGGGTTTTATAGAGTGTTTTGGAAAGATAGTTAAAAATTAAATTTTTAATTTTTTTTTTAAAATATGAAAAAAAAATATAAAAGATGATGTGATTCAAAATAGGTTAAAAGTTAAAAAGTGACTTTTAATTTATTTTCCAAAAAATGCCTATGCGGTTACTGCCCTTATTGGTTTGGGAATACCACATCAGTGTGTGCTTGCCATTGCTAATGTCTTTGGTGATATACATTCGAGTCACAAAAACATACTCTTCAAATGTATGGATAAAATTGAATATATGTTCTTGTCTTTGTCATATCTTACTTTAGCAAGTATTTTATGCACTGAGTCGTTCCTTTTACGTTAATGTTTTGAATTAATTCTTTGAACCTAATGATTGTGGGTAGCTAGGTGTTTGTGTTCTAGAGGTTGGGACAGTCTTTTCTAGGTTTTAGTCTGACAAAAGTTTGGCCTGGTATCACTTCTTGAGAATGACCCAATTGTTTTAAGAGCTCAAAGTAAGCTCCACATGTTCTATTGTGGTGGTGCTCAGCTCAAGGGCCTGCTTAACAGCTTGCTCTGGATTGAAAGAACAATAATATCGCGAGTGTAAAAAATTTACTCAGAAAAATAAACTTATAACTTTAACTATAAATTTATATCAAAAAATAATTTTTAAAATAAAAATTAAATTATATTTTCATTATTTATAACATTTTTGTTGAAAGGATTGGGGGACAAAGGGATGATGACAACATCACTAGATTTTGTCTGATAAAATGGAGACATATAAGTGTAGTTGAGAATGGCCCCTACTACCCCCACTTGCATATCCCACGAGAGAAAACCATGCTAGCACAAGTATTAGCTAGATTACAATGCCTTCTGGTTAGTGTGTATTATGATAAATACTTAGCACTAATTACTCGATTGCGATTTTGGAGTAAGAGTATTTTAATATTTCATATTTATGTTATGTCGCCTTGATTTGATATTAATGCATTTATAGTTAAAATATCGCATCTTTTTTTGTATTATATTATATTATAATAACTCTTTTAAATTATAGTGATATTACCGTGACCGTTATTATAAAAAAAATATATTTTTATATGTGGTGCTTTTATTTTCTTAGATTAATTAAGATAATAAGATTCATCATATTTATATCGCTATTTAATAATTTTTCCTATCCATGATTCTTATCCTTATTCATCACATACATATGATGGCATGCACAAAAAGAGAGCCACATCCATGGTGATATTGTTATATAACTAGTGCTCAAATTATTTGAACAAAGTTTTATCCTTTGTGTATCAAGCAAAGGAAAAAAGCATGCAAAAATTATAAGACTGAGTTGTGCACCAAATGATCATATATTTTCTTAAAAATAAGTGTACTAAGAAAATAGTTTACTAAATAGGTTTTTGTTATGTTGGAGTGGGTTAGGATTAAAATAATTATAAAAAGACAAAATAATTTTTTTAGTTTGATAAAACAAAATATTACATTCAAATCATAATTATTTCATTTTTTTCTTACATTATTCAGAAATAGTGTAAAAGGAATCCTTTATAACAAGTCAAAAGTTTAAAGTTGTAAATGAGCCTAATATAGCCAAGTTGTTCAAACTTATCTTGGATTTTCAGAATCTGTTTAACTTGTTTACCTTATGAGTTAATCTCAATCAAACTTTAATTTTAAATTTGTTTGAGTAATTTGTTTTTTTATAACTCAAACTTATCAAGCCAAGTTCAAGCAGACCTCAAGATATGGTCTCATTTGGAAAGTTGACTATTTTAATTGATTTTTTGACTATTTTAATCTAGTTAAAAAAGTTGTGTTCGAGAATAATTTTTTTTTTCTTTTTTTTTTTGATGTAGTTCATTTGATGGTTCTGAGAAAAAAAGTAAAATAATTATGAGTTGAATGTGACATTTTGTCTTATTAATTATTTTAGCTTATTTTGTCTTTATTGACTATTTTTGCCTATTTTGGCAATTAGGAAAAAAGTTAACTTATTGGCTTATTTGGGTCAACTACCTCTATACTTTTTTGCACATTTTTTCAATAAAAAAAGAAGAAGAAAGAGTTAATTTTTTTCCTACTTCCCAAAATAGGCTTTTAGCCAAAAAAAGCTTCATAGCCAACTTCCCAAATAGCCCATTATAAAAAGGGCGAATTACATTAACATCTTTCTGTAATTTGAGACTTATGTCACTTTAATCTCTGACTTTTTAATTATGATATATTTGACCTTAAATTTTGAATATTGTTTCAAACAAAGACAATTAAAGATATTTTTCTTTGCAAACGGTCAATTTCAAGGGCAAAGTCATTATATAACTTATTTGGTGTTGGTTAATTTGTATGTTGTTTGAAGTGTAATGACCTTTTTTTTAATGAATAATATTAGAACTTTATTAGTTATAAAGTTCTTTGGTTTGGTTTTCAGAATTTATTTTCAAAAATTTTTTTCTAAAAAATTAAAAATTAAATTGGTGAAAAAAATTTAAAACACATCATTTTTATATAATTTTATCTTTTTGGAGGGTAGAAATAATTTTTTTTTGATATTTATTTTCTTTTTATTATTTTCTATTTTTTCAAAAGTCAAATATGACAACAATTTCGATATTGTTATTAAACCAACCTATTAAATCAAAAAATTCAAAACTAAAATATTAAACATATCGATTACAAATTCAAAGTCTAATAACAATTAATTACATTATAACCATCTAAAAATATATGTTAACAACAAATACAACCATCTATTATATGATAACCATCCAAAAATATCAACAAAAATAACTACATATTACATGGTCATCCTCCAAATGTATACTAAAAATGTAATAACCCACATTCATATCTTAGTCATGTTCATGTGCATTTGCATGATTTTGTCTTGTTAAGCTTGCATTTGTAGACTTTGACTTGTTTTGCCTAAGTAAAGGTTCCTGTCTTGTTTTGTGTTTATATGATTTGCCTAAGTGTTGTTGCATGCTTTGTTCCTTCCTTGCTGTCTCAAGCCGAGGTTATCTTAAGCCTAGGTTACACCTTTGAACATTTTTCACCTAGGACCATCTTGGAACCGCTTTGGTTGACCTCCACCTTTGCCCTGGCATATTGGCCGAGATGTCGTCATCTAGGCCGAGGTGTTCATCACCTAGGCCGAGATGTGTATCATCTAGGCCGAGATGTTATCCTTTAGGAATTGGAGATCTTTGATCCCTGCACCTGGTGATCTTGTTCCTGGATTGGTATGACCTAGACCGAGGTGTGGCACAGCTAGGTCGAGGTGTGGCACAGCTAGGTCAAGTGTTATCCTTCCTAGCCGAGATCATTGTTCCCTTACTTGCCGA